TGGCAATTCTGATTGCGGCTCACCCTGGAAATTGCCTACATCAAGAAAGGATTGGCAAGGGATTTGGTTCAGCTTTGACCAACTATAATCGAGGCGAAGGACGCCTAAAACAACTTTTTCAGTTTTCAGTTTGTCTGAGTTTAAGTAACATTAGACATTTTTAATCAGTGTTATTTATGGTTTACGGCTTTACCAAGTAAGTCTGCAAAATGTTTAATTAATTGAAAACACCTAAACTTGAGTCCCTACTGAGGAGGAATGAAATGTGATAGGCGACTCTAAAACTGTTTAATCTCACGGTTCCTGTAGAACCATGAAGTGTCTACTGAAAGCACAGCCCAGTAACAAATGAAGCAAACCCCTCACTTCAGTAAGATCACTCCCAAAATGGAGCCGATCAAGCGGAAGTCTCGAGACCTACGACCAGGCAACTAATGAGGCATGAATATGTGCATCGGCAGTGAGAGGATGAATTCTCCTACAAGACTGGCGAGTTAGATCAACTCCCAGCATATTCTATTTTTAAAAGTCCATCGCTCAGGAGGAAGTTACATCTCAAGTGGAAAAGGAGTGGGTTCGGATTAACGATCCAGTAACATTCATTTGTAGCTAACAAGTTATTCCTTCAACTGGTATGTGCAACCACGTGGACACTCCGATTTCGGTGCTTCTAGTTCCCGCCTTGACGATATGGCATGTCATTCATGCCGCATCGCTCATTTGTCTATCTACTCTTCTATGCAATTGCAAAATGGGTGGTTTCTGACTCGTGGATGTTATAACACTTTAATAAATGTCACTAGTGCCGTGATCTACCGCACAGGGATGGGAATTTCAGTTTCGCCGATGCTGATAACTGAATCTTTTAAAACCCACAGCAGAAGAGCTTTTGAAGCCATGTCAGTTTTGACAACCACTTAACATGCAGTCTGGCAGTATGTTCATTAATGTTGAAAACCGTTACAAGGGGACATCTAAATCTTGAATAAGCGTACCCTACATTTTACGTGTCTGGAAGCCGAAAATCACCCCACCAGATGGCCAGACAGGGTGAGAGTAACTACGAGATAGCAACATGGAATATAGTAGAACGGGAATTGTGTGATGCTACTCGTCATCTGAGACTAGGTACTCTACTAGTGGTGAGTGACGTGGAGAATGCACTCGAAGGGGACCATCAGCCAGCCTTCGGCAGTTTAAAGCCAGTGAATTCCAAAAATGCGACCTAGCAAGGCTTAATAGTGTAATTCAATGGAGTGGAAAAAATGCACAAATGACGCTGAAAATAGGAGTTTATTGCCTCAAAAAATTTGATGCATGACCTTCGTTCCTTCACAACATTAAGACAAGTGTGATCATGGTCTTTATTTAATCCATTTTGCGTCACGGTGTTTCGTTTGCTTCATTTCCGTTACCGTCATAGTAGCCCTTTCCTTCATATTGGAGACGAATCGGAGGAAGGCAAGACTTTCTTCCATAAAAACAAAAAAGAGTGTTTCGTTGGACTCTTTGCACTTTGGTTACGATCCTCGAAATATATCTCCTTCCTCAAGCGACAGCTGTCACTCCCTTCACATGTAAGCATCTGGGACAGACAGATTAGGTGGGATATACAGTTGACATCAGAGGCGGAGGTAGCTAGAGACACGTTTGACTGCTATCTATTGGCGACTAGACCTCTTCCAAAAGCGAAGCTGGTGCATGAAGCTTTTGTTGTGCTGGTAAAAACTGAGGATTGGGACTTACAATTGCTACTGCTTCAATGAATACATTTCCTACCTTTCAAAACCCCCGTAGGCACTTAGTCTTTCTCCTTGCATAAATTCCAAAGATCTTATTCACTTATTTGATAAAAGTAATCCATGATTGAACAGAAGATAGGTAAGAGCGAAGTAGCAGACGAGTAAGCTGGTGTTTGATAGAGAGGCAGCGGTGTAGACCTCACCACCTCCTTACTCAGCCTTAATTCCAAGCCATGATGCGCAAATGCCTTGTACTTGGCTATAAAAGCTGAACAAAACTGAGATGTACGAGGAAGCCAGAAGTCGGTGGCTTTTATGCGTAGATGGTTCTGTGATAACAGCAAACGAGTCTCTTTTTTTGCAAAATTTTGCAAAGCATTGCGAAATGGAAAATGAAAACAAGCATTCACCATAAAGGAACCGAATTAAAAAAGTGCTTTACTAGAAGCCCATGAAACAAGTAGAACATACAAAAAGGACGTAGCTTTGTGAGAATGCACTGATAAACCAACTTGTCACTGTCGAATTTTTGAGGCAGTCACTCCTGAAGAAGGGTGGACCTACCTGTCAGATAACTTCTGTCGCAGCAAGAACAATGATGCCTCTCCAGCTAGTGGAGAGGTGAAAGAGGTATCGCGTGTTTGCCTAACTGATAATGCCATACAGGTACCATATACAGCTATTTTTTCGCTATAGGTCCTAACAGCAAAATCGGCAGCTTATGACCCTCTTCCGTTACATTGAGATTTAGCATTCAGTGATAGAAATCAGAGTAAGCGTCCTTCAGGATCAGATTTGCATTCGTTGCCACCAACATGGAGCCCCGAATCTGTCCCTAGGAAGAAAGAAGTCGCAGTACTAGGGCAGCAAATGTATTGCTAACGTGAAATGGGGCTGGGATGGCTAGTGGCATCACCCTAAAAATCACAGTGGTGGAGCTTTGAGTGCAGCGCAACTGAAACGCAGATTTAAACAAGTTACCAAATTATTGCATGTGGCCTGTGATTTCTGGTTTAATGTCTATATTTGTTGAAATTAGTTTAGCACACCATTCAAGGTTTAATTCCAGGGGAGGGCGAAATCACGAATGTTGCAGAAATCAATGGATACCAATATCAGTGCACTTCTAGAGCAACGGGAGTGTGATGTCAGACCCGATCCTGACTTAGAGTTAATACTTATTAATGTAAGCATTTTCAATTTAAAATAAGTTTAGAAGATTGTAAGGGCATTTGAGTCCATTAACTAAGCGAAATGACCTCCTGGAGTGTAGGTTGTGCCTCGGTTTCCTCCAGTTTGTGTGCATATTAAGGCCATTCCCAAATAAAGTAGAAAAGAGCACTGGCAACTTCAACCTTTGCTTTCCATCCCTTGGTATAAATAAAAGTGTTGAATGCGTTTACAGCTATAGGAAGGCGCTTGTCTTTTACCGATCTGGCCGCATAGTTGTACTAGACTCGTATAAAATTCTCCCCCGTGCACATTTATTGTTCCCTATGTTAGTAATTTTTTTGCCAAATCCGCTTCCAAAGTAGCCTTTTAGTACCTCAATGACCGCGAGTAGTGTGTGATTTACGTCAAAAATATAGTCCGAGTTTTGGATCTATTGGTTACTCTAAAAATAACAATCTACCATCTAAAAAGCCAGAAGTTATCTTTGCTATCCGATATGGGATTCAAAGAAAAGGGTTTACAAAGTCTTGATGAGGGATAATTTATAATGTCTCTCTGAGGAAAAGCGTCGCAGCGATGCCCCAAGGTCCTAATCAGACATGCCCTGTGGAAGTTTAGGTAAAGAAGGCAGCATGTTAAACAGACTTGCAGTTGAAGTGGTTCCTGTCACTGCCTAATAGTACTTGAATTGCTGACAGCCCTAGGGTCTGTCGTAAAACATTCCCTTAAGGCATATATTTTTCTGTCCTTTCGAGATTTAAACTAAACAAGTAGCGTTAAATGGGAGATTGTTTTTCCATTTCCCCTCCGTTAGACTTTAGGGCGTTTCCATTGGATCGACGATCTACAGGTTCATACAATTTTTTTCTAAAAGTTCGGATAATTTATTTGTCGAAATGGGTGGTGGATTTGACTACTGACTGTTGCTAGCAAATTAGATTTGGATACTTAAGTGGATGACTGAACTAGAGAACACTTTTTTGCGTGTATTCTCCCCTAAACCAATTCAATAAAATTAACTAAGGGAAATCTTTTCATTTGTAAGCCAAACAGACTGAGAACGTAACTGATGTAGCCAAAACAGAGGAACGGTCAATGATGCAAGCAAGATTGAAATTTGTAGCCCCAGCAAATTTGCCGTGGGATAGAAGCGACCAGAGAATTTTTAGGAATTAAATTCCTGCCTCTATGGGAGGCCCATTACTCGTGCTTTCAAATTACTTTATTTTACTTCTTTTTGTGGGTCACGTGGTCCTGACACTTCTCGTGTACCAGGAAGAGAGGTTACACAAGCACACAACATGCCATTGAATTACACCAGTCTGGTGATTAGACAGCACTCTCTATCACCTAGGAGAATGTAAACAACGCCGCACAAACCTGTGCTGCTTGGCCACCTCTCATTTCACACGGCACCTTATGTCAACCACTAATTACCTTCTTCTATTAAGGCTTCTGAAACCGGAGTTCTAAATAAGTCTTGTAAGGATGATACTTAGAGCGTTGCTTTGCATTTATGGAGTTATTGCTAATTTCCATACTCTTAAACTAACTCCTTAAATCGCCATCAGTTTCTACTTAACTATAACATGAGCCTGATCTGAAGACGAAACCACATAAAATATACCGGGGTGGGTGGATAAACATGTGGCCGAATGAACGAGAACAGTTGTGTCCAAACTTGGTTTTCCTCGTATAAGCAGCATTCGGATTTGGATGGGCCATCCCTTCTGATGAGTCGCCAGTTAAGCTGTACCGCCGTCTAGAAAGCATGCCCTGATGTAGCAACTTTTATAATAAAGTTGCCATTGGTCTTGTGTATGATAGAGGATGAGGGAATTGTCCAGAAAAGCATCCATGGTGGTGGATGTATTGATAAAGACATGAAGATCGGAATAGTTAAAACCTGCGCTTTATACAGTTGGTGTGTGTTGCAGCAGTACGATCCGTCCGTAAACTAGCATACTTGTCAACAGAAGGTTACCCTCTTCTCCTTACAAATGTAGGTGAAACTACTTGTGCCTCTTCACGATACAGATCTACAACGATTATGCAATTCTGAAATAGGCAAAAAGGATGCATCTGCTATTTAATTCCACCTTGATAAAATAAACAACAATAGAGGAATTGAGTGCCATTTTTAATAAAATAACATTTGCCTGTTGCAAAGGAATCGCTGAGCAGGCACCGTATTAATGATTGATCATTAACGAACGTTGGTGCTAATTCGCCAATTTTGCAGACCTTGTACTTCGCACAAGCAAAATATCCATCATTGAACGTGACCATTGGAATGATAAACAGAGAACCTTTAACCAATCGTTTCGCCCCCATTTAATTTACCCTAATCTGATTAATGCGATTCCAACCAACTTTACGAGAGTTCGCACAGGCGCACCAATCAAATGAGGGTGCTCTGCGTGGTATCACTCAACGATAGCTCATCAGGGAAGAAAAGGCCGCATAAAAATATTTCACACATACAACCACTAATAAAACCATTAAAAAAATTTCGTTAAATTGGAAGCCACTAATTTTGACCAGCACCTGCTGTGCTTATAAGGCAGGATAGTTACATAAATGTATTTTAGATATAACCACACAAAATCCCCGGATCTGGATTTTTTAATTTGATGACCTGCTGGGGCGTAATTACATTTGCATTAGGGGTGACAGCTTTACAAGAATGATTTTAATAATCAAGATGCTGTCAGAATTTAGTTAGCAAGATATGTGTAATTATAGATCATCCTTCAGAGATTATTTAGTTAAATTAAAATAACCTGGACTCTCAGAATTGTATGGATAGACGCAGTCCATCAAAAGCATGCGCAAAACACTTTTAAATCAAACACTCTTTTTGGCGTTATCATTAAGTCTTGGTGATATGGTGGGAATTTTGAGGCAACTACATATATTGGTACTGAAGGTTAGGAGAAGATTAAAATACTATCCACGAAATCCTTTTAAAATAAAATACTACAAATAATAGACACACAAGTAAGTCCCATTCCGTGATATTGGCAGGAAGTACGGCCTTCACATTAATCCTTTCCTTTCAAATTCGCGCTTTTCCCAATAATGACTTGTCTTCTCCAGTAGACGCTAGGAAATGATCTTCCTTAAGGAGAAAGACAATTCCTTTTCAACTTTGATTGCCACAACTTGCTGCTACGATACTTATCAAGATGAGCTTAGATATTTGCACCCAAGAAAATTGAGAGACATAGGATGATTCCCCTTTTTCTCGTACCATTTCCAGTTTCGTTGATCTAGTGAAAGTTATTTGAATCTAAAATGTCCAAAAATTTTGTATATTTCTTGGCAGTGCGAGATACAGGGCAGTGATTTATGAATGGGAGTTAGGAGTGCTTTAATCACTACAAGGTAATAAAATGTTTGCTGTTTATGCACTGAAATCACAAAGTCACAAAAAAATCTTTGGCAAGGTAATCACCTTTGCAACCCATGGTTCTCCTTTCATTACAACCAAGGGTGGCTTAGGATTTTGCTTTAATGAGAGGCTTTGCCTCCTCTCAGCCACCTCCTTCTCCATGTCACATTTCGTGTCCTAACTGCTATTTAATCTAGCATGTGATCATATTACCAGCACAAATTCCCGGAGGTGGTGATAATAATCATTTGGAGAAGTATGCATGGTAGGAATTTGGCGAATGTGGATGAGGTGAGTCAATGTATCCCCTACTAGGGCTGAAGTGCAATCACGTGCTGTCTTTCCTTATGCTATTGTGTAGGGAGAGGACTACCTTTATACTCTCCTCAGTCTCAGCCGTATTTGCAGCAGATCCTCTTTCACATCTTTTTATATAGTAGTAAGTGGCTAAAACTGGGATCGCAATAGCTTACATATCAGTGAGCAGGTAATTACAACTGAAATGAACAACACCACAAAGTGGACTTGATTTCGTTAGGTAGTTAAATCCCTCATTTCGCACCCAACTTCACAACACTTATCGGTTTGCAATGTTTTCAAGATAACCTTGTGACACTGCACTCACCCAAGCTCATTTCAAGATCAATGTCATCGGAGAAAGACAATGATAGTCGGAGATGATGACCACCCAGTACACGAGCACTGCAATAACGTACACGCATACCTTATACTCAGTGGTCATTCATTGTGGAAGTTCGAGATCTCCGTTTCGGAATCTTTGATTATTCTGGTTGGGGTCTTGATGTTGCACCCGCACACCCAGCAGTTCATAGCACAATGTGTTTTAATAATGCGGGCTGAGGTGGATGATAAACCGTCAGTTCTCCTGAATTTGGGTGTCAGTGGTGGCACGCAACTTGTCTTAATCTCCACTAACCCTCGTGAAATCTCAAGAGACGAATTTTCTCTCCATGAAAGCGGTAAGGAATCATTCGCAAACACCTTCACCTTCGATTATTTAATACATGGTGGGAACACTGGCATTCTCTTCATGCGTTATTCCATGGCAAAGCTTGTACACAGTATCTCATTCTGGAATAAAAATAAGCAATAGAGCTCTGGAATTGTGCATTTTCACTACCGATGACGGAAATGTAACATGTAACTTCTGGGATGATTCGGTCGAAACAACTAATCATTCCATGCCAAAGGTGCTTCCTCTGTATGCTGTGATAAGTGTGTAAGAATACTATGTTCGTAAGCAAATGCGGCTCCCTTATCCCAAAGACCTTTTTTGTTTCTATTTTTAAAAAAAAGTTTAGAGGTTGGCAAATACGCTTCCCCTTACCTCTAGCCCATTCGACTTAAAGATCTGCATTAATCCAAAATGAAGCACAAAGAGACGAATAGCAAAACAAATAGAATTTAAAAGACAAAAATAAACAGAATTAGCAGATGTTATATAGAAGCAAGAAAGACATTCATGGGAATAGCCGCAACGGTTTTATTACATCCAGCACGACTGCTTTCGGTACAGAGTACCCGGGGCTAGAAAAATCCAAGGATGTGAAATTCAGAGACTTCAAGTGTTTCAGATCTGTGTAACAGGTGTCTCTTGGCCGCTTCCTGCTTCGCACAATTTCCAACCCTCCTCCTCGGCTACTTCAGCGCCTTTAGCTTGAACAAGGGCATCGAAGGAATGAACAAGATGTATGAAGTCTGTGCAGTGTTCGATGATGGGTGTGGGAATTGCGAGCACTTCTTTTATGAAGGGATCTAAACCCTTAAATACCAAAAAATTTTTTCCAACTACGGAGGAAGTTAGTGGTTCATTTTGTGTCCATTGAATGTGTTATTTACTAAATTCCACCGACCACGATTTCCAACTGACACGATATCGTTTAATCATTTCGATTGCAGTTGACAGCATTAAAGTCCAAATAAAGGGCGAGGATTGTGTGGACGGCTGTGTGAATAGGTAGATGGATGAGTGTATGGCTTGTTGGTTGAAGGTCATCGTGCAGTGGTAGTGAAGGTCATAGTTTGTCAACTCTGCCAGTATGACCGACATTCCCTTGGGTTGGCCGAAGAAGATGTTAATTGGGAATAAATGAGAGGCTTTTGTGAATAGAGGTATAGGCGAATGTGAACATGGACGAATGGGCGGGTAGCATGGCAAATAAATTAACAAATCCGTGGCTATCTGAATTAACGTGTAATTGAATCTTTCGATTAAAAACTCGACGACCGAATCTTTGACTGGAAATCGAATACCTTGAGACACTTATGAATGAAAGATCAGCTGGTAGCGTAAATGAGTGATGGAAGAGCCCGATACTAGGATGGTCCGATTGACGAATGAACAGATGCGTCCGAGGATGTGCCACCTTACATTTCCGGATTTTAAAGTTGCTCATCTCAGTAGTATTTCCCAATTGCTATGGTAGATGCGTTGCTGGAATTAACGGTTTTAGTGAATTTGATAAGTAGAAGACTCGAATGATGGTTGGATGCGTAGCTTGATAGTTACTTGGAGGGAGGCTAAGTAAATTGGGTCAGTGGGTGAATGACTGGCTGATTTGACAGATTATAGGATAGCTGAGTGGACCGATGTATGTGAGGACTGAAGAATTATCTGGTCAGCATCATTTTCAAACCCTAAACTTACGCAATTCCAGATCCCGAATCGAATAAGTTATTTCATAACTCCAAAAACATAAAGACTTTGAGCAGTAGTTATTCACAACGTCATCTGATAAACAAGTAGATAGATTGGACAGTAAGTGGTCTAATGGATGTGAGGTTGAACGAAGAGTGATCGAACAGAGTGATGGAATGAATAGATGGGATAACGAGTATTTAGCTGAATAACTGAAACGGTGAATAAATGGCAGAAGCATTATGCACAGCAAAACACTAATGGAAGATTGAATGGACTGACAGATAAATAACTAATTGCAAGGAAGATTGTTCCTCCCCTAACTTCTAATGCATTCCCAAATTGGCCATGCTGAGAGATGGACGGAAAGTACGAATGATCGATGGAGTCAAGAAAAGTGATGGCTGTATGGAGTAGAAAGGCCAGTAAATGCACAAAAATGATGAGTGAACGGTCGCACAAACGAGTGCGTATCAAAGTGGGGTGAAATATGGTTGGTCGGTTGATTGGAAGAATGCGATGATAAAATATATTTTGTATGCAATATTAATGGATAAATGCTTACTAAATGATAGATCAGATAGATGACAGAATAACAAACTGCAATGAAGGGGAAATAAAATGTTGTGTGACTTAAAGCGTGCATGGATGGCCTGATACACAGCAGACCTTCCTTATCATTTTGGCCACATTCTCTGTCGTTCGTTGGGAATGATCTGCTACTTCAGCAGTAATAAGTCCTTCCATGTGATTCATTCCGCCGCAAAGTGTGACTGAAAATGACAAGAAAAGTTGTTTCAACTAAAAGCAACAAATTTTATGAAGGTAAATAGATTTTACCAATATCTTGCCCTCTAGAAGGTTAGACCACAAGGAAAAATGACTGGTGTTACTCACCATACAGTGCTTGCCTTCCTAGAAACAAGGGAAGGATGAGCAGAAAGCGGGAAGAAGATATTTAACTTACTCTCAGACTATAGTCGACATATTTCTTTGTGCTTGCTTTCGAGGAAACAAAAGAAGGGTGAAGCAGGAAGTAGGCGAAAGATATTTAAGGTACTCACGGACTATAGTTGGCATAGTTCTGTTGAGAAACATCTAGATGATGGAGCTAGAAATGCTGAAACGTAAATTGACTCCATTCGTGTTTATCGTAGGGGAGTGACAGCAGGAGAGATGCTAAACGCTGAGGTTGTTGAAAATATTTCGCAGAGATTTGTGCAGATTCAGCCATTTGCAGGAGATGTCTTGCCCTGCTGCATTTGGGTTTAATATCAGGCT